GCTTGGGAAAAATCAGTTACAGCCTATCTGGAAATTTTTACTGATTTCAATTTTACTGGATTAGAATTTCACAAAATTAGATCACTCATATAATTAGATGCCACAATCAATAATACACGACACATTTAAATCACAGCACAATTTATACACAAAAATTTTCTACTGCACAAATTTCTTGATTTACGGTAATTTATGGGAAGCATGAATACCCATGAAGCTAACAGATAACATTACAAAACCAAGGTACAGTACATGTAGAAAGAGCTGGAGCAATAAAGAGGCAAGTGCTCCACAAAGTAACCTGATCATGTGACAGTCATGTGACTAGGTGTCATGTGATTACAATATACATGTACATGTGCACGTACCTTGATAAGTGATTCCTGTTCTGTGGTCTCCACCTAACTCTAGCTACAGAATAAAGTGCATTGACTGAGTATGATTCTTTAGTACGCTGCTGAGCTGTCTGTGTATCATATACCTGTACAATAGATAGGAATTGAAAAATTGAAGTCAGAATCAGCTCAAATGTTCTACATTGCATAAAGACATCAATATGCATAAGAAATTGTAATAAAAATGGGGTAATTTTGAAGCCATTTTTTGAAAAATACCCGAGGCTTATATACTTATGTGGGTATTTTTCACAATAATTGGAATTGCTTTAAATGGCCGTAACTTGAAAAATTGAAGTCAGAATCAGCTCAAACTTTCTATACAGCATAAGGACATCAATATGTATCAGAAAATATAATAAAAATTGGGGATGTTTTCGGAGTCATTTTTTAGAAAAAACCATGGGCTAAAGAACATAAAAATTAAAAAAAAAACAAGATGAAGTAGGATTCCGAATGACCAACGAAAATACAAAATGAAAATCCTACTCTCGTGACGCAAATTCTACTCTACATTGCAAGGTGAATCATAAGTTTTACATAAGAACATTAAAAGTACAATGTAGAGTAGAATTTGTGTCACGAGAGTAGGATTTTCATTTTGTATTTTCGTTTTTGTAAATTGTTTTTGTTGCGTGGAAGGGATGCAGATAAGTAGTAGCTGAATTTAATCTGGCTGTTCTAGCTGCATAATTGCGGTCAAAGGTATGTCATTGAGTTTATACAGGGACATCCAAAAAGGCTAAGGCCTTATCATTTTGACCCGATCTTTTTATCTAAAGGACGGGAAGGACCTAGCGATTCTAATGGTGCAAACAAAATTTCTAAATTCTATGTTTATCAAAAGTTATAACAAAAAATCAATAGGTCAGGTGAAACTGAATAGACTTTAGTAACGCTACCGCGTTACTAATAGTACAGGGGCTTTGACCCAGTTTTTGAGAAACTTTAAAAATTCATAAAAAATCCAAACCTGATTGGACTTAGCTCAAACTTTCTATGCAACATAAGTACATGTATATGCATTAAGCCCTCCATACACTGGGCAACATGTTGCTAGCAACTTCCGTGGTCACTTTGATCTTGTGTCTAAGAATAGAATTCTGTTCTATTTTGGAACAAGATGATTACAAGATCAAAGTAACCACAGAAGTTGCTAGCAACATGTTGCCTAGTGTATGGAGGCCTTTAGGAAAAATATAAAAATGAAGAATTCTTTAGTTGCCATTTTTGGTAAAATTTGGCCAACGACCATGTACTATAGCACAGGAACTTTGGCCCAATATCTGAGAAACTTTAAAAATTTGTAAAAAATCTAAACTTTATCGGACTTAGCTCAAACTTTCTACACAACATAAGTACATGTATCTTCATCAGAAAATGTAATAAAAATGGAGAATTTTCTCCTTGTCATTTTTGATGAAATTTGGCCAATGACCATGTACTATAGTACAGGGACTTTGACCCAGTTTTTGTAAAAAATCCAAACTTGATTGGACTTAGCTCAAACTTTCTATGCAACATAAGTACATGTATATGCATTAGGAAAAAATATAAAAAAGAAGAATTCTTTTGATGCCATTTTTGATGAAGTTTGGCTAACGACCATGTACTATATACTACAGGAACTTTGGACCAATTTCTGAAAAACTTTTAAAATTCGCAAAAAATCCAAAATAGTCAACATAAGAACATGTGCATGTATATGCATCAGATAATTTTTTTTCTAGTATTATACAATATTCAATGAAATATCACCCTTCAAAATCATGGAAAAAAAACTCTAATTTCTATTACAATTACTACTAATACTACTGCCACATTTCTGGTACACAGTATGATTGTCCTTCACTCACCACACAGAGCAGATATTAAGTCTACTCTCACATTTCTGACACATTATATTAGCAGGTGGGATGGGCTTATTACATCGACCACACCCAATATTATACAGTGTTGAACTCTATAGTATGAGAAAATAAGCTTTAATAATATAGTACTCATATAATTTCTACCTGACTAATTTCTTTTATTTGCTTAAGAGGACAGTTCTTGGTAATATAAACAGCTCATTTAATAACTGATAATATTGTGTCAATAAGTCTAATAAAAACATAAAAGCATTATACATTAGATCAAGAGTACATAATACTAAATAAAGAGAGTATTGAACGGCCCTATACAAGCTGCTGATCAACAGATCAACAGACAAAATGACTGATAGTCAGACCACCAGGCTACTAATAGTCCTTTCCCACACTTTTAATAACAACACTTTAATAGACTTTAATAATGTATTTAATAACAACACTTTCCTTTTCCATGCACAATTATACATGTGCATGTACAGTATTATACATGTGTGTCACTGTGCATGTACATGCACATGTATGTGTGTACCTGTGACTGCTGCCAATATCAAATTCAGGTACTTCAAGTGAATGACTAGCAATTTTCTTGTCGTAATTGAAAAGGTTCTTTAGGTAACTACTCAATACATAAATATTATCCGAATAATCAGCTACTCACCTCAAGCTCCTGGTGGGTGTGACTAGCACTTTCATTGGTACTACTGTCTGAATCATTCTCATTATATTCAAAAAATTCTAAAACTAACTAAAGGGAAGAGTAAAAGGCTAGTAAATATTAAGGTGCTTCCTTCTCTCTTTCTCTCCACTATTCTCAGTTGTACTAATGAAGTTTTAATAACTGCTGCCACTTCAGACTTCAGATTGACAAAAACATCACCAAATTAACAATTGTAACAAAAACATTGTAACAAAAACATTGCCTTTAAATTTATAAACAATTGTATTTGTTGATAAATACAAATAGATGTTTTTGTCAATCTGCATTCCTTAATAACTGGTATACATAGCCCCACCCACCATACTATAAAATCAAATTGCATTAGCTGTTGAAGGAGTGTTTTAGTAGAAACATTTAGGAGAACAGTGTGTGTGGCAGTAACTAGTGCGTGTAACCTTAGAAGCAAGTTTTATTACAACTGCAGAACATGGCTGAAAGAAATTTATCATTAGGAGTTGAACAGGATCCTCAAGATGATAATAGTAAGGCAACTTATGCATTCAACAAAGAACAACATGTCTATGATTTAGCACCTTTTACTGCATTGCCTCTATGCAATCATAACTACTTAAGAGAAAACCTATAGCATGCAGAATGGATAAATTGTATAGTGTGGTCCAAAATTGAGAAACAAGCAAAACTTTTTTTAATGGGTACAGTTAGAAAAACAATACAGCAATCAATTTGTTGAAAAAATTAATCAATTAGCCACACAGGCTTCCATTAAATAACTAATTGATTATTTATTGCAGCCTTAGAAACCAATGTACAACTGAATCTACACTAGTTTTACATGAAAATTCTATTGTTGAACTTAACAATCTCTTTGTGTAGAATTGTGCTTCTAATTTTATGACAGCATAATAAATGTAAGGTAACTGTTCAAATAAGAAAATTTGTCAAAAACAAATGACAATCTGTATGATTGGGATAATGCATGGTACAGTTAAGGAGCAAATTTCAGTTATTAGAATTAGGCATTTTGAAAACAGTGGATAAGAATTGTCAAAACTAGAGTTCTTAAAAGTATATTTAAGAACAGTGACAGGAGCATAATCAACTAAATCATACAAGAGCTAGTATCACTAAACAGGATATCAATAAAAAATACAATGTACATGTGTTATTGTTACTTATTTGGTACATTATTTGGTACAACTACTTAATAACAATTTCAATAAAAAACAACTAATTAGAATATACATGTGTTATTGTTACTTATTTGGTGCAACTGCTTAATAACAATTTCAATAAAAAACAACTAATTACAGTGTACATGTGTTATTGTTACTTATTTAGCACAACTGCTTAATAACAATTTCAATAAAGGACAACTAACATGTGTTATTGTTACTTATTTGGTAGGACTTTTAAGTTTCATTACTTTAAGTTTCAGTTTCATTACTTACACTTTCATTACTTACACATTCACTTTCATTACTTCAAGTTTCATTACTTACATTCAATGAAAAATTTCCAGAGCTAATTAATATTCATGATGGGCATGGTCAATTAAATACTACGATTATTACTTTAATTAAGCTAAGATGTGCACTTCAGTGTCTTTTCTTCATTAGTAGTAGTACTGGCCTTGGGAAGACATTCAAACAGACTCAGCAGAGTTTCTTAGCCATTTTCAACTCAATTACTTTAATAA